CCCCATTCCAGGTGTGGCCCTGTCCCAGGTGTTTAATCCCCAGTTCCTGCAGGACTAACTGTATCCCCTGTCCCCATTCCAGGTGTGGCCCTGCCCCATGTCTCCCTTCCAGGAGTGCTGCCTGCCAGGGTTGCAGTGCCCCGAGCCCTTTGCTGTGACCTGCAATGAGACCTGTGTGATCCAGTACCCCGACACCGTGGTGGACATCGTGGAGCCCCACCAGCCCCCCTACTCCCTGATCTACCCCGGGCCCAGGCTCACCACCTTCCCCCAGCACACCATCGTGGGATCCACCATCCTGGACGTCAGGAGCTTCCTTGGAGCCAGGGGAGCCCTGGGGTTTAGGGGTAGGTTTGGTTCTGGGGCAGCTCTGATGAACTCAGCAGGGTCGTTTTATGGTGCAGGGAACTTTAATCCTTTTCCTCCTCACTCATCCCAACTGTTTTGTTGTAGAACTTGCAGGCCAACCCAAACCCACCACGGATATCTGTGGATAGACTGAAAAGCAGGACTGAGCACTAAAGAGCCCGACTAAGTTTATGGATAATGGATTAGAGAAGTGCTGAGCTCCCGAGGTTCCCAGTGGAGTCAATAAATCCATGGCTTCCTGGCACTAGACCTGCCCGAGGACTAGAATTTCCAAACTCCAAGAAACTGAAATTTCACCACTGACCTGGTTCAAAATTAGGATGAAATAAACCCCCGAATTTTCCGAGAAACCAGATTTTCTAAAAAAAAAAAAAATCTTTATTTTTTTTCTTGGTTTGGTAAAACTGTGTGTCAATAAATTCATTTTTATGCCAACATTGATGTTCTATTATCAATTTATCTCCAAATAAAAAGTATAAAATACATCAAAAGAATAGGTCTGAAAATCTTGGGTTCCAAAATGAAATTTTATCTAAATTCATATTCATTTGTAAATTTTACTGAACCAGCATTAAAAGACAAACAAACAAACAAACAAACAAAAAAAAGCAGCTCTACTTGGCATTTCTTAAAATTAGGTATTTGTAAGTCTTTCTTTTGCTTTATTTCTGCTTAGGCCCACAATGTAATGCTTTCCCAGCTTCTTTTTCTGCCTATATCTCATTGGATACAAGCCAGGGCAAACCCAAAAATATCAAGCACTTGTAATTGCAGATTTTTTTTGCCAAATCCTTCTGACCAAAGAAGAGCAAAATCATGGAACTGGGGATTCATTGTGGACCCTCCTGAAGTCCTGAAAGTCTTTGATTATATCCAGAGAGTTTTGCTCATGTATATTCAGCTTCTCATTCCCATTAAATTCTGTCTTGCAGCAGCACTTTTGGGTTTTCCTTTTTCAGAATCCCAGAACAGGTTGGCTGGAAGGGACCCCAGAGCTCATCCTGTTCCAATCCACAGGCAGGGACACCTCCCACTGTCCCAGGTTGCTCCAACCTGGCCTCGGACACTCCCAGGGATGGGGCAGCCACAAATTCCCTGGAAAACCACTGTCTCCCCCCCCTCACGGGAAACATTCCCTTCCCAATATCCAACCTGTGTCTCCCGTCTGTCAGTGTGAACCCACCTCCCCTTGTCCTGTCCCTCCAGTTCCTGGTGAACCTTTTTCTCTGCACTTTATTTTTGGGCCCTTGTGAGTCCCCCTGAGTGTCTTTGTGACCTTTTCCTGAGGCTCAACCCCCCCACCAGCATTAACCAAATCCCCACGGGACACTGGCAGGAGTTTTGGCTTTTTTCAGAGCTCACCTGACCTGCCTTTTGCCATGGACTGAGGATGCTGCTGGTTTGGAGAGCTGAGCCCTGCCTGGGGCACTGCCAGCCCCTCCCAAGGGGGTCACCAGAAAACCTCCTCCAGGCTCCTTCCCAGGCTGTCAGGAGCAAAAGTCCAAGCAAAATCCCAGAATCCCTGAGGTTGGGAAAGACCTCCAGGATCATCAAGTCCAACCTTTGATCCATCCCCACCTTGTCCCCAGCCCAGAGCACTCAGTGCCACATCCAGTCCTGCCTTGGACACCTCCAGGGATGGGAACTCCCCCACCTCCCTGGGCAGCCCCTGCCAAGGCCTGAACACCCTTTCCAGGGGGAAATTCCTCCTCATGGCCAACCTGACCCTCCCCTGGCACAGCTTGAGGCCGTTTCCCTCCTCCTGTCCCTTGTTCCCTGGGAGCAGAGCCTGACCCCCCCTGGCTCCCCCCTCCTGCCAGGGAATTCCAGAGCCAGAAGGTCCCCCCTGAGCCTCCTTTTCTCCAGGATGAGCCCCCCCAGCTCCCTCAGGAGTTCTCCAGACCCTTCTCCTGCTGCTCCAGCCCCTTCCCCAGCTCCCTTCCCTTCCCTGGACACGCTCCAGCCCCTCCGTGTCTCCCTGGCAGGGAAGGACACAGCACTCGAGGTGTCTCATCCCTGCCCAGCCCAGAGATGCAGATTGCCTTAATTAATTAAAGAACTGGGATTAATTCCCCAGCCGACTCATGAGGCCATTCCCCAAAAACAGGACAAAAATCACCGACCAGACGTGTCCAGGCAGGACCTGGACACTGTCACCTCCCTGGGTCACCACGCTGGGACAGCTTGTGCAAGGGGAATCTGCACTGTGGAATCTGCCAGGTGGAATCTGCAGTGTGGAATTTGCCAGGTGGAATCTGCCAGGTGGAATCTGCCAGGTGGGTACGTGCAGCTGAACAATGCAAAGGAAATATTTCTCTGTATTGGCCAACACGCAGCGATGGCTAAAACTAAGGCTGAGAATTAATGTGTTCGTGTTTCCCCACTGTAATTTCCAGGGAACAGTGTTTCCAGCATCCTTCCTCAGCCCTCAGGACTTTTCCTCCACATTTATCCACTTGAGGTCTTGGAATCCCCAAATTCACTCTGCAGCTGCTTTTTCCATAAGTCCCTCCCAGCTCCAGGAGGCTCCTGCCCAATCCCTCCAGGACCAACAGCCAGAGAGTTCTGGGAAGGCTTCACAAACACTCATTATGTGTGTACCCAAGCTGAGCCTTGCAAAACCCAGCCTGTGCCTCTGGATTTGGACATGCAGGGGTTGAGCAACTGCTGCTCTTCAGAAACACGGACGAGGATCTCGGGCGTCGCTTTGCACGTGAGATCATTTCTGTGCCTTTTTTATTTCCTTGCCTCAGAAGCTTTTTTAAATTTTAAATGAATTGCATCTCACATCCCCTCAGTGGTTTTTTAAGTGTGTGGGACAATCCCAAGCCAAGCATCTCTTCCCCTGGGCAATCCAGGGTGCATCAGGCTGAGTTTGCATCGTGCATGAACAGGAAATATTTGTGTGTTTTGAATATCAGTGGCCTTTAACAGCCCCTGAACGTGTCTCCTGGAGGGCTTTGTGTAATTGCAGGTGAGCAAGTCAAATGCAGCAGCTGCCACCACCATGGAATCCTGGAATGGCTTGGAAGGGATTTTAAAGATCTTCTGGTTCCACCCCCTGCCATGGGCAGGGACACCTCCCACTATTCCAGGTCGCTCCAACCTTTGCTTTTCCTGCACGAAACATTGGATCAAAGAAATGGGATGACCCAAATCCTCATCTCTAACCTGTCCTTGCTCTTCCTGCACTAAACGTGGGATGAATCAACTCATATTTCATCAGATTCCATATGTTCAGGTAATAACACCTCTTTAAATGAGGCATAAAACCCTCATTAATGATGCTTTGTTAATTCAGTCATTATTAGTTCTAACCCTGGAGCATTTAAATTTCCATTAAATTCGGCCCCTCGGGGCAAACCTGTGGCAGCAGAGGCCTGTGCTGGACAGCATTTCTCACCCTGTAGCCACCCCAAGTGCCAGGGAGGACCCAGGATGACTCACAGCAGATTTACCTGCTCCACCCACAGGTTGCTAAAAATACCCCCTCCATTCTCCTGCATCGTTTGTTTACATTCCTGTGGTTTGTTCCTGATTAAATAACTTCGGGTTTCCAGGCCATAAATCGCCCTGAAAGTTGGAGATGATTGTGTGGGATTGCCCTGGGGGCAAAAAATTCCCTTCTCAAACACATCCTGCTGAAGGCCAAGCCAAGAATTCCAAGGGATCTTGTGGAGGCTCCACGACATCTTCTGCAGAGCAGGAGGGCTCAGCAATGCCGGCTCAGCCCTTCACTCCTGCACCTCCATTCCTGGCCTGATGGTGCCAACAGCTCCTCCCCACCTTGAACAGGTCAGGCTGAGCATCCCAGGGATGATCCCGAGCGGGGACTGTCCCCTGGGTGCTGTCACAGCCACCACAACCCAGCCTTTGGGTTCAGTGCCACATTACAGGTGAGATAAAGCTGATGCACAAAGTTATAACCCAGTCAAGGGTCATAACCCTTCAGCCCAGGGCTTCACATGAGAGAGGGAAAAGGCTTTGGTACCTTTGTGCTGTGAGACAAAGCCTTGGGGTGGGGGAGAGAAAGCCAAACTTCCCCTGGAGAGGGACAGGGAGGCAGGTTGTGCAATGCCAGGTGGGGCAAGCAGAGGGAGACTGAACGTTGCAGGATTGACTCTCGGGAGCTGCAGGGCTGCGGTTTCCACCTATGAACGAGAAACAGGGTTAATTAAAACGTGCAGGGATCAGGAATCCAAATGGATTTGACGTCACTGAAATAATTTAATTTGCTTTCCTGCTCTGACCCACCCAGCATTTCGATTTTCTTGCTCTACAGCAGATTTTAGTTCAGCTCTGGTCAGCATGGGGTGTTGGTTCTTCTGCCCCACTCCCTTCATTCCCTTTCCTTCTGTGCTCCTTCAGCATTTGTTTCCTCTGAGTTTATCCTGCCAACAGTTCTTGGTCACTTTTCAGTGTTCAAAATCTAGTTTAATCCCAGTTAGAAGTGAGCAAAAACTACAAGTCCTGGGCTCTCCTACTAAATTTAGGGGATTTTTCTGGTCTGTTAAGCCCTAGAAAAGACAAAGCACACCCAGTGAACCCCAGTCCCACCACACCCCTGGGGGTCCTGCCAAGGCTGCAAAGCGAGAAACAGAACAGCAGAAAATTTCTCCTTTTACCCCCCAAAAGACTTTCCAAAAAGCCTCTTTTCTCTTGATCTGCCAAATATTCTTGGGGAAAACCACCCCTCGCCCTGTGCCATCCCCACCATTGTGACCCAGGAGCTGCAGATTTGTAAAATCAGCCTCTTTCTGCCAGAACTGAGCACTTGGGAGGTTTCTCTGGAAACACCCTGCAGAGTCAAACACCCTGGGGATGTTCTGAGGCCTGAAAACGTTTCACAAACACATTTATTCGTTGCCTATGCAAATAGTTGTATTATCACAACAGCCAGGGGTGACACCCAGTCTTGGGCAAGAGTGTCACCTTCAGGGAGATAAACCAAGGTCATCTCTGGCGTTGTCCTAATTAGGCTTCACTGCCTCACATTTGGGATTGTTGGACTTTCACTCACAGCCTGTGCAGAATCAGAGCTGGTGATAGTGCAGGAACCTGTGTGGCCAGCCTGGGAGCCACAATTAACCCTGCCCACCCATCTGGAGCCGGGCTTCAGCTCCCTCTGCCTCGTGGGCAGAATTGTTGCTGATATAATGTTTGGCGGGGTGATGTCAGCAGGCAGAGCCTCTTTGAAGTGAGGGCAGTGGCTGCTGCAGACCTACCTCAGCAAAGCAGCCACCCCAGAGCCTTTCCCTTTGATTCTTTCTCATTAGCAGATGCTCCTGACTCAGCTCCACAAACAAAACTCCTGCTGCTCTGAAGTGCCACAGAACTGGTCTGACCACAGGAACCATCTCAGCCGGGCAGGAGTCACCCTTAATTCTGCCCTGCCTTGCACAAGGCTGTAATTTTCTAAAACAATTTCAAATTAATAGGCCCTGCCAGTATTAACATTCTGTATTG